CACAGATCATTTGTTTGGCCCAAGGACGAACCCTATTGAAATTGGAGATAATCGGTCAAAATTTAGATATAGCTCCCATATATATCTTCGTCCGATTTGCCTTTTATTGTGCACCAAGCGTGTAATATCAGCCCGAATTGTATGGAATTTTGCACATACAACCAAATTAGGCCTGAAAATATGTACGCCAAATTTGATCGAAATCGGTTCAGATATAGCTATAGCTCCCATATATATTGTTCATCCGATTTGTTATTTTTGTCCACCGCCACCGTAATATGCACTCTGCAACGACAATATTTAGGGAAATATATCAAATACAGCTCAGAAATACATTTGCAAAATTTTATCGAGATCGGTTCAGATTTGGATATAGCTCCCATATATAACTTCGTCCGATTTACCTTTTATTGTGCACCAAACGTCTAATATTTGTCCAAATGTGATGGAATTTGGCACATACGACCGAATTGAGTCTAGAAGCTAGTATGTCAAATTTGGTGAAGATCGGTTCAGATATAGCTATAGCCTCCATATATATTATTCATCCGATTTGTTATATTTGTTACCCACAACCGTAATATGCACTCCGTAACAACGATATTCAGTGAAATATATCACATACAGCTCAGAAATATCTTTGCCAAATTTTATCGAGATCGGTTCAGATTTGGATATAGCTCCCATATATATATTTATCCGATTTCAAATTAATTGTGCACCAAATTGTCAATACAAGTCCGTATTTAAGAGATACAAATGCTTCGGCATGTTTAGTCCTTTGAACTTTAAATTATAATTATAATCATAGCGTGTATGATTGAATTCTCCCATAAAAACTTTTAACTGTTATGTGGAGCTCTACTAAATTAGCAAAGTGGTGTAGGGTATCATAAAGTCGGCCCCGCCCGACTTTAAGACTTTCTTTACTGTTTTTTTTTTTGAATAATTAATTATAGAATAAATTTAGATTTGTTCGAATTGGCCACCTTTGGCACGAATTATGGAATTCAAACAGCCAATGAAACCGTCACACGCTGATATTCATTAGCCACAATAAAGTATAGCTACTTACTTGTCCACTTTTGGCCCTTCTTAAGATTATGGGTTAATTATCAGATTTTTAATGACTTATTTAATAAGTATGGTAAAAATAAAAAATCGATAATGATTATGTTTTACCACAAGAAACAAAATTGACCTTCGGCATTAAGGTTTACCAGATTAAGAACTACTAGAGAAATAGGGCAGATTGAATTTAACCCAGGCTGTATATTTCGTGGAGAACAAAATATATCTGTCTTCTAACCAAGAGTCCCATTGTTGCCTTATTGTTTCCTTTCCAGGGTTAGTAGCATTCTATATAGGACAAAGTATTTCAGACAGATAGAATTTCACATTTTGCTCCATTCTTGGTTTCGGCATTAAATAAGTACGGGAACACAACAAAAAATTTTATCTAATTAAGTTATTAAACAAAGGTAATATGTATATAAACACCAGATGTTTTCCTTCGGAAACCAAAAAATATTCAGTTGGACATTAACATACTACTAAAATATTAATAAAAAACCAAGTGTAAATTTAAAATCTTATCAGTGAGTAATCTTTCAATTATTGTGGAAAAATTTCTAGAGACAAAGTACGCATTCGCCAAAACATTGGTATATTTATATACACGAATAATTTAAATTTAAGTGTGACATATATTAATATGCAGATGAACACTTATCATGTAATGGTATTTAATTTGGTGCGGTTATTGCTTTCATTACCTTGAAATATCAACTGAAGGTTAAATAATTTATGCGATTATAATCAATCGAATTTTTAATTAAAACAATACATACATATCAGAACGATTAACAACAATCTTACTAACAAACAAGTATGGTCTGATTAATGTAGATTATGTGTAGGCAAAGTTGCAATTACTATAAATGTTGTTTCTTTCAAGTTTGCACTCACGTACCAGCAGCGATTAAAGGCAATAATGGTGAAACTATCTAAAAAATGATTTTTCTTAAAATTAAATTCGTTAATAATGAACTCAATGATCCTTCATACAATAAAAAAATTGATATGAATAATTTATTATTACAAGTATATTTAAGACAAAATCGGTTTACTTTTCAGAAAGGCAACTTATGGTATTAGGTCATATCACTAAAATAAAACTTGTATGATATGAGTCAAACAATCTACTCGGAATCCATCAGAAAGCGTTTTTTAAGTACGATCACAGTATCTCCCTGGTTTAAATAGATCTAAATATTAGACAATTAAAACCGACGGTGCATTGGTACATACCCAGTATGAAATCTCCTTACCTAACAGTGAGTTTTTATACTTTCAGCCATATGGCTAAAGAAGGTATATATTATTTGATACGACCAAGACGATAACTCTTGAAGGGAAAATCCTATTTCATCCAAATTTGGTAAATCGTAATATTATTGTCAATCTTAGATCGACTTTGGAGATGGGCAATATCGGACCTCTCTTTTTGGTACCTCGCCGACAATAGGTCAAAATGTTCGCAGAAAATAATTTCCGAATTAAACAAGAACTGGCCATCCAATTTTGTGCAAACTTAGCAATTCCCAATATCAGCATCAGTGCTATGTCAAATGCGAAATTGGACAATATCGGTTCACAAATTTCTCACATCCCAATTTTTTTGACTAAAATTAGATCTAGTGTGAAGATGGTAGATATCAATCCACTCCTTCGAGTACCTCCCCCACAATGGATAAAAATAAGCATAAGATGCTCTTTACATTTCATACATCCCAACATTTGGGATAACACAAGGTGTGGTATGAAGATGGGATATATCGGTTCACTGAGGTACCATCCCCCACAAGGGGCCAACATTTTTAACAATTCTATTACTAGTAAAATGCGATATAAACATAAGATTCTCTTCAAATTGTACACATCCCAACATTTGTGCTACCATCTGGTGTGAAGATGGCCCAGCTTTTCTAGTCTAGTCGAAGGTGTCAAAATTTGGAATAACCAAAACGCCCATATAATGCGAAATAAACTTTCGACTCTGTTCAAATTTTACACATTCCAATATTTTTATTAACACAAGATGTTGCGTAAAGATAATAGATATCGGTCTATATTCTATATCTTTCATAACTAGCGAAACAAATGAGTTTAAATACGCGTTGAGAACATGACATGTGACTAATTACAAATGAGTTGGTTGGAAATTGGGACCGAAACCGTAAGGATGCCGAACAGACGGACATGAATAAATCGACAAAGAATTTTAATCCGATCATGAATATATAACATTCCTGATGGGGTTTTTAAGGATTATTTCTAGGTGGAGTATAAAAAGTACGGGAACAAGGCAATAGTCAACACCGCTACATGAAGAGAACGCTTCAAAATTATATTATCTCAAGTTTTTTTAACCCTAAGAGGTGGTATTCCAGTCTATACACGTTTTGACGATCTAGACCTGTGCTTATAGTCTACATCTGTTTTATCGTACATGTCGATATGTAATTATTCTAAGGTCGCAGATATCTAAAAAAATAACAGCACTACAAGTAATAACAATAACATATCATCCACAGTATCAGTAAGCCAAAAATAATGACAAATGCATATCTTCTCCATTACCAATAAGTCACAAATAATAGAAATAAGTTACTTTTACCTTATCAAGTAATGAGTGTATATGTCCGATAAAAATTCGATTTTTCGTGTCGTCAACCTATCAAGAAGAAACAATGTTTCTAACCATGACTGAGTGCAGCATCGGTATTTGACGAAGTAGGTACATCGCCACAATTGACTCTAGCATAAAGATCACAAATTTCCCAATTAAAAATTATCTTCATTCACTGATCATGAACATTTCATATTTATTTATGATTCATTTCATTCTTTATATAATATCACATAGTGTTATCTTGATTTTTGAGCGACGTCAGGAGACCATGCCATTTTCGTTGCATTTGCCTATATTTTTAAGTCCTCTTTCATTCATAACTCTTTAGCTCGTTTGAGTTTTTTTCTTTCCGTTGCAGTGCAAGTTCTTGCACTTTTTGGAATTTCAGTGATAGACACTTGTAGTTTTCCAGCCAAATATAAAGAATTGACACTATCACGCTTGAAATCCATCACGAATATTTTTCCGGAAAATTCTCATCAAAATGCTTTTAAACAATATAATGAGCTGTCACTGGAATAAGTTTAACAGCTGTCGGACGAGTGGCTTAGAAATGACAGCAGTCTGAAGTTGGTTGCAGTTTTTTCAACTCATCCTGTAATTATCCCACAAAATTAGTTTTTTTATTAACTGAACTGCAAAAATGTCAGATCGCTTTGAGCTTTGCAGATACAAGTTAAGTTATTTTAACTTTGAACTAATATCTGTCAAAACTTGAGATTTTTTCAAATGTTTGGGGACAGTGATTTTAAAAATACAGAGGTAGTATTTGTTCTTTCGGTAATGTGTAGCTAAAGAAGGTTCTAATCCGTCTTAAATTTCAGGGCTCACACAAAATTTTTGAATGAGTCAATGGTGGCTCCTAACACTTAAACAAAAAATAAAAATTAAACCAATAATGTAGTTAATAAAATGCCTAAAAGTATGCTCTGTTATATTGTCTTTAAGTAACAAAAATTAAAATAAAGTAAATAATTTTTGCAATAAATGTTTAATAAAAACACCAATCGCAATTTGGAAACTATACTGATCTATTAATTGTGTTTAAAATATCTAGAAAGATTCCTTTTAAACAGCGGGATAGGTTAGTTCATAGTAACAGTGGTGCAAGGAAAAGAGATCTATCATCTTAATCTGAATACATATCAATTTACAAAAACGTTAGGAGTTGTGTTATTTGTGATGTTTCAGTAAATCTTTATTACATTTCTGTAAATTATTTTTTTTTTATTATCTTGTACTCTAATTCGTCATTGATTTGACAAATGATGGCAAATAACTAATAAATATTTTTATCTATTTCCAGCTAATTTGGGTAAAGGCGACACCCTGGATTCTCCTGTTAAGGATGATAGGACCGTTACCGATACTAAAGATGCATCTCCAGAGCGACGTATAACATTTACCATAAGTAGCGATTCTTCGCCGGAGGGCAGCATGACATTGTCACCGAAAAAATTCGATGCAATTGCCGAAGAAGATACTCCGACAGTGCATGGTGCTGACAATGAACAAACTGAAAAAGAGGACGAAGTTATTCTCAGACCACGTCTCATCGACAGACATCCTCATCTGATGCCACCATCTGGCATCTCTAGTACACCACGTAATAAAATACTGCGCAGCGCTAAAAGTGTGCCACACTTTAATGTTCGTCCAGCGGCTAGCGAAACAGATATTTTTGCCATTACCGGTTCGGGTAACACTATTAGTATGACACCAGAAGTTCCGTCCATATCCTTTAGCAATTTGCCCAAACATTATGAAGACACTCCAACAATTGAAAAATATCGCGTCTCACAATCGTTGTACTCCATTCAAACAGCTAATGCTGCACGCGCTGAAGATTATTCAATGCCACGTTACTTCCGCAAGTCGGCCATGATAACGGCCAGCAGTGAAGTCTTATCTGGAACGGGTACAATGACAACGCCCTCGGCATCTTCTTCGCGCGAAGAAGTCCGACGTCCCGAAAAAGAGAAGAGTAAACGCTTGCAAATGCTAAGAGGAGCCTTGCCACCGTTACTTATACATTCCGTGTCATTCCGCAAGACCCGTGATGAGGGTAAACAAGTGGATTAATTAATTGAAAAAAGTATTTCCATTGCAATACTTACATTTGTATGCAACTAATTTATGAAAAGTATTTTCGTATTATTTTTGAGAGCATTTTGAACATTCTTAAGTTTTTTTTTATTGTAAACAAGAAAACTTAAATATATTTTTCTTATATTGTTAAATCGCATATTCTTTTTAAACATATTTATCACGAATTGAGTTCGTTTGAATTAATATTCGTTACAGTATTTAATGTAAATATATATTTTGAAAATAAATTTTTAAATGAAAATATTGTTTTTGTTTATTGTATTGTTTAAGGTAAGTTTGGAATGGAATGGAAATATTTATTATTATACCCTACAACACTATGTGTTGGGGGTATTATAAGTTTGATTGGGCCAAAAATTATGTAACACCACGAAATATTGATTTCCCACATAGGAAAGTGTATATGGATCTTCCTATCTCGCCGAGCTGAGTCGATCTAGCTATGTATGTCCGTCCGTCCGTCTGTCCGTCTGTCCATGTTAATTTGTAATCACTCTACATGTCGCAATTATGGTCCGATCTTCACGAAATTTAGAATGAAGGTGGGGATAGGGTCAGAAAAGAACCCTATTTCTTTTGGAGATGATCGCATAATATTTAGGGGTTGAAATGGACCAAAAACTGAAAAAATTCCTGATTTTGCAGTTGCTCTACAGGTCGCAATTATAGACCAATCGACGCGGAAGTTAGCATGGAGCTAGAGCTTAGGGCTGGGCAGAAGCCTTCCAATTTTGATGGTCATCGGGTAATATTTAGTGGGTGAAAATGGCTATGACATTTGAGTTAAAAAAAAATCAAATTTTCCATGAAACCGCGAATATATTTAATCCCGGCGAAACCACAAATAGACGAACAGGTCAATCCTGACCGTTACGTAGATGCCGATAGTAAATATTTCGGATATATACAGCGAAATATATACAATGTATATATACAAAGGAAGGGAATGTTAGCTAAAATGCTTATATCTCAAGAATGGCTGGACCGATTTTGACAAATTTTGTCAATGCAGAATGCCCTCATGGCATAAAAAGGCGCCTATAATGATGTTAATATAGATTTTTTATTATTTTGTGACATATTTTCATTTTTCATATTTTTTATCGCATGCGATTTTTTCAATTTGACTTATAATATTAAAGTGTATATGTTGTAATATTTTTTTACCTTACAACACACGTTGGAGATATTGGATATATAATGCAATTATCGTCCGATCCTCACGAAAAGGGTAGGGTTAGGTTCAGAATTGCTAGGCATATTGTTTTCAAAAATGTCCGCAATATATTTAGGGGTTTAAATTGACCAACAAAAAATGTCCCTGATTTTGCAGCCGTTATGATACAAATAGAAACTAAAGGATACAAAATCTCGCAGGGATTCAGTGTTGTGCTCTTGTTGTGAAAGGTTGTTTGTGAAGTGATAATTATAAGTGAACAGTTTATGATTATTGTGGAAAATCTACAAGTTCAAGTTCAAGTTTATTAATTCAATTCATTAATACAATACTTATGTCTAACAAAAGCTCTTAAGGATTACTTAAAACTACTTAGCATACAAATATTTATCTAAGTTTAACTCATTAATACATATATATGTGCATAATGTACGCATCATATCGCTAACACCAGAAATTAAATTTCATTATATGTAATATATGTTGTATTTAGCTTATATTATATTCCCCAGAAAAAGAATTATTAAAAAAGGGGCTAATAAACAAAAAAAAAAGTGTATTTTAGAACTATGGCTATGGTGCTTAAAACTACTCATAATTAACTATGTACAGGTGTGCTTCATCGGCTACTGTGTTATATTGTAGACGGTATTATTAATGTCGAACGTCTTATAACGGCGGTGATAGAAAAGTAATTGATTATCAATAGAGAGAAGGCCTGCTCTGTCCAAAGGTAATAAACACTTTGGTGCGTGATAGTTTGTCTCTAATATGTTGTTAATGTCAGTAATACTATTATTATTAAGGCTGTCAATAATTAAGGAATTTTCCAAAAATGATGATTTTTCTAGGAATTTTAGAGCATCCTTGATCAGGAACATATCGATTCTGTCGAAAAGTGTGTTCTCGTATACAGCGGAATTGTGCGGGAGTCGCCATATTCCATTGTCGTCTAGTATGGGTTTTATTTCAAGACACGATCTTAGCACCCTCCTCTCCCAGATACGAATTCTCTCCATTTGATGGGAGGAGATTCCGTACCAGACTGGGAAGGCGTATGCCAAGATTGGTCGAATTATTTGTTTATAAATTAACAGTTTGACAGGCAGTGTTAATCCACCTGATCTGCAAATAACCCGCTGGTAAGCCCAGAATAATTTTTTGGCCTTACCGAGAATGTAGTCCACATGTCTGACAAACTCAAAATTGGAGTGGAAAACCACGCCCAGATATTTGAGCTGGTCAAACACGCGGATCAATTGTCCTCCGATATATGGCGTAGCTTCAAAGCCTCTGGAGCTGGGGAAAAGGTGTTTTTTTATACCTTTAAAAACGATGCCTTCACATTTGTTGATGTTAAGGCTCATTTTCCATTTCTCAAAATATATGGAAAGGGTGGTCAGATATTGGTTTAGGCGTCTATTTGTGTTATGAGCATGGGCTCCAGATGCAGCGATAAATATATCGTCTGCATATATTAATAGCAGATCCCCCTCGGGTGGTTGAGGAATATCTGCTAGGAATATATTAAACAATATAGGTCCAAGTAAGGACCCTTGTGGGACGTCTGCGTATATATTCCTGTCCGTGGAGAAGGATTCTAACTTTGAACTTTCTTGATTTTAGAAAGTCCGCTACAATTCTGCAGGTATTGCGATCCATGTTTAAATTAACCATTTTGTAAACAATGGCATTGTGCCATACGTTGTCGAATGCCCTGGAGAAATCCAGGCTAATCCCTATTGTAACATGCCTATTGTTTAGGGCATTAGAAACATAATTCCCAAGGACTGTGAGGGCATGTGACGTGGACAGTCCTTTCCTGAAGCCAAACTGGCTGTCAGAAAGTAGTCCGCGGTCCTCAATTTCTAAGGAAATCTGTTGTAGGATGAAGTATTCTAGTAGTTTCCCAAATGCTGATAGTAGACTAATAGGTCTATAGCTATCTGGCCTTGTGGGGTCCTTTCCTGGCTTTGGGATGGGAACAGTTATGGTGGTCTTCCAAATATTGGGGAAATAACCCAGGTTTAAGCAATGGTTATAAATTATAGCCAAAGTGCACCATGTTGACTTATCAGTCTTTCTAAGTACAAACTCAGGGATTCCATCGGGTCCACTGGATTTACGGTTGGGTCTCCTCTTGACTGCAGCACCTATATCCTCAGGGGATATAAGACTGAGTTCTGGGATATGTTCAGAGCCATCCGCTAGTAAATTTTCAGAAAAATTTACCAGGGGAGACCTAATATTGAATTCTTGTTCTATAATATTAATACTACCATCTTGGGGACGTGGTGCAGTAATCATGCCTTGAATAGAATCAGCGATGATATTGGCTTTATCCTCGTCAATATATATAGCAGTTCCATTATCATCAGAAAGAGCAGGTATGGTACTGCGCCTAATGCCAGCGGCAGCCTTGACTTTGCCGTACACTCTTTCGTTAATAGTGATACCATTCAGGAAGCTTATCCAGTGTTCACTGTCGTGTTGTGAAATAGTCCCCTGAATAGTTCTGTCAAGGTTATTAATATTATTCTTGGAAAATATCCACCATTTTCTCAATACCTATATCTATTTCCGAAACCGTGACATTTCGGTTAATAGGGAGTTGGCAGCTGGGCAAATCTTCCCCTAGTATCCTATTAAACCTCCGTATATCAATTTTTTTGTAATCAAAAATTTTTGCATTTCTGGTGATTACAGGGATTCTGCCACGCACATTGATAGTAATTGCCAAGTGATCGGAATTACAATCAGTGGTGCTGATACCTTTACCTCCATTATCGTCAATATCTATGCCAGGGGAGGCTAAGCATATGTCGATGTATGTTTCAGAACTTCTACTTATTCGGGTGGGGCCGTCAGTAGGAATTACTGTAAGGTCCGGACACCCTAAAATGAAATCGGCTATGGATCTGCCTCTAGAGCAGGAGGTGGTACCGCCCCAGCTGATATGTCGGGCGTTGAGATCGGCTCCAATGATGATCTGTCCGTCTCTCGCCAAAGGTCTGAGGCATTCAAGATCAGAGGAGTTAAACCCATCGCCAGGTCTACAGTACATGCTCACTACATGTAGCGTCGACCCATCTACCCTAAATAATTTAATACAACAATTTTCTATGCTACCTGAATCTAGGACTACTTGTTCGCATTTTATGTTTTGCTTAACTAGGATAGCAGTGCCGCGGCCAGTTCTATCTATTCTTCTTTGCAAAAAGGTTTTATTGCCCTCCATGACCAGATTCGCATGGGTAGGCACCATATGCTCCGCCAACATCATCACATCAGGCCGATGGTCTTTAAGAAACAGATTTAAAAAGTGTTTCTTGTGCCTCGATACTAATGAGTTGACGTTGGCGAACACGCACTTGATAGATCTAGTCATCAGAGCAGAGTGATGTTAAGATGCCAATCATAGCCTTAGCTTGGCAATCTTGCTTTACACTATTTAAGTCCTTGGAGTGTTTGCGGACTTTCGCAAGGCATGAGAAGAAATCGTTGCCGAAATTCTTCTTGCAAATTTGATCAAAGTTTTCGAATGAGGTCATTATGTCAGTCATAGGCCTATCCCCTGTATTGGCCACTGAATTGTGTGTAGGTGTGTTTTGTGACAGAACGTTCTGTTTCGTAATTTCAGCAAAAGAGACACCCAATTTAACTTTGCCACTATTGGCCGAAAATCTATTTTGACGTGTTGCTTTTTTATTATTTTTTGCAACCGCATCGGATTTAATTTTTGCAAGTCGCGATTGTCGAATTGGACATTCGCGTGAGTTGGCAGCGTGTCCCTCCTTGTTGCAGTTTACGCATTTAAAAATGTAATCCGGTTTTTTGGAGATTTGGCCCGTTATGGGATCTTTAACCTCAATCATGGTGGGTCTATGGACACCAGGAGGGATATGACACTTCTTAGGGCCATGTGCTCCCCCACACTTACAACACCTGTATGGCATACCACAGCCCCCTGAGGAGTGAGTTGGCCGTTGGCAATTGTGGCATTGGGTTAGACCCTTTTTTGTATCTCTTTTGAGTAAAATGCCGCAGTTAAGGAACTTGCGGAC